GTCTGTCCTTTTACTGATGATAAATTGCGTCATAACATTGTGAAAGTGGCTGTGAACCACGAGCCGCAGGCAAGTGGTTCCGCAGTAAACTGCGCACTCAGTTTACTTTTCAAATTTTATGTAGTTTTGCTTTAGTTTTACTTCAAACTGACTAAAAGATGGGTTACACGGCTGCAAACTACGCTGTTGAGACCCTCACGGTCTAGTGCTTTTCATGATCGAAATGTTTTCGGTAGGAAATGAAGATTTCGTTTGAAAACTCATACTTTTTGATGCGTTTTCGCCTGTCGCCCACACTAAAATGACCGAGAACGATGATGAAAACGGAGGTTTCCGAATACGGTTTAAAAAGTGGAGTCGTTTGAAACGCTCCGTTTCTATTGTAGGTCTTTCTAGTGTGGATACGTGCAAACGGAGGCTTTTGAAAACGGCGCCGAAAAAAAAAGCGTCATATCGTAAACTACCGCTCATAAGCCCTGGGATTATACAACTTCGCAAGGGCTTAAAGATGGGCTTATAAACGGAGGGGCTTATATCCGAGGGGGTTTATAACCGGAATAAGAAAAACTGTTTAGAAACGATCTATAGCTGCACATGTTGATTAAAATAGGTTTTTCATTTTCTGGCAACTGCGCGTTTAAAAATCATCATATTAAAACGAATTCAAAACAAGGAAAACTAGAGGAGGGTGGCTTACATCCGGGGTGGGGGAGCTTATAACCAGATGTATTATTTTGTCTACAGGTAGATAGACCTATAATCGGAGGGGCTTATAAGCGGCATTTTACGGTATACTCTTGTGTGGTCGAAACTATTTTGCTTCATTTTCGTTGAGACGAAAGTGGATACTTTAAAAAAACGCAAGTGAACTGAAGCGACAACTGAAGAAATGACTGAAGCTACTATGGACTTTCCTAGAAAACCAACAAAAAGATAGAACACACACAGAGAGCCAATAAGAAATCAGAACAGACTCATCTAACCAATCAGAAAGAGATGGACTGATTGATTGAAAGCGCCTTGCACGCGTTTTGGAAACTACAGAATCGTATGCGCGCATCCAGGTAAATATATATCTGCTTACAAATTCACTACTTTAGCCAAGTTTGAGGGACTATTTTTGGTTGCTTCCAGAAGTGTTCTGTGGTCTAACGTCAGGCATGCAACTCCCATTGTATTCGTAATTTGAGAAACAACACAACACTGTGGCGAATCTTTTAAAGGTAGCAGTGGCGGATCCAGACTTTGAGCTATAAAGGGAGTGGGGGCGGTTTTGTTTTACCTGCTCTGCCGGCTTTTCTTCCTTCAGTCATTTCTTCTTTTCTCACCCAAAATAAGGGGGGGCACCCAGGCCCCTTGGGCCCCTCCCCTAGATCCCAACTGCAAACCCACATTCTTCCACCTTTACCCCAATTTCTGGACAGTCACACAGACACCGTGTAACTACTGGTACTGAAATACCAGTAGTTACCCTGTTTCTGGCGAGCCATTTTTATCACTGCCCAGTATCTTTCACCTAGTTTAGTCCCAGTAAGCTCATGTATTCATAGTACCTAGTACAGTAAATGATGTAGTTGATAAGGCATGGAAATTGCACAACTTTTTGGCAAGTAATATTTTAGTGGGGGCATCTGAAAACTGAAATGTACTAGCCGGCCCATTAGGCAACTAGATTTTTTTCCTGCTCTGCATCCATTTGGAAATTTTAGCTTTGGCTTTTGAAACCCCCTTCCCCTCAAAATATCCAGTGACTTTCCTTGAAGAAGGTATGGGTATTCCCTGTAACTCTTCATTGATAACACAACAGGAACCTTGTGTTACCAGGAGCCCATTACTAGGAGCGTGCAACTCCCATACTAAGCCTATGTCACAGCATTTTTACAGACCATTCTATTTTTAGGCTTCATTTCCCACGAAATAGTCAGTTCCAGTTTACATGATTACGAATCGGTACGAAAAAAAAGCTGTTTTTCTCTTTAATCTTGTGGTGAAATGATGACATCAGTTAAAAATTAAGTCTGTGCTTGTGATTGGTTACTGAGGTTGCTGCAGGGGTCTGAATTCATGGTAAATTCAAACTAAAAATAGATTGGTCTGTGAAAATGTCATGACAGGAATATCGGGTAGTTGCACGCTCCTAGCTTTGGGCTGCTGATGTTACCATGTCCTGCCCCATGTCCCTTAGAAACACCAAATTTTGAATTTCTCAATGCACCTAATAATAATATTAAAGATGATAATGATGATAATGATAATAATGATAATAATGATAATAATGATAATAATGATAATAATGATAATAATGATAATAATGATAATAATGATAATA